CTAGGCATTACAGAAGGCTCACCTGATTCTGTTGAGCCATAACCAAGACCAAAACCAGTGCCAATTTGTTGGTCAAGTACAATCTTTTCCATGGAAGACTGGGCCTTCTGGTAAGCTTTGTACTTAATCTCAAGAGGCTCTATCTCTCTTATTCTCTTTAGAAGGGAACCATTTCAGCTTCCAGCTGATCTCTTTCCTTAATTAGAAGATTGATTTTGATCTCAACCTCATTTCTTAAGTCAAGGATTTCAACCTTAAGCTTACTGTTTTCTTCTTTAACAGAAGAATAAGTGGTTTGTATGGCTTGAAACTCTTCCCAAAATTCTGACATTGAATAAGAATCAAAGGCTCTGCCTACCGAAGAAAAACTAGAGTTGGAAGTAGAAGATACCTCATCATCAGATTGACCCATAAGGCATAGGTCTTAAGTTTCTGTGTCCAGGCAACAGAATGCTTCATCAGATTCTGATTCCGAGCTGGACTCTGTCTCAGAGAGGGGGTCCTTCTCTGGTTTTTCAGTGATGAGTGCTTTCCTTCTTCGGTGCTCGTATTTCTTTTCTCCTTCCTGGCCTTGCCTTTTGGAGACTATGGGGTGTGGACAATTGACTTTGAAGTGCCCTGGTTGTCTGCAGTTGTAGCAGAGAAGCTCTCCACTACTTTCTGATGGTTTGGACTTCTGGTGTGGCTTTCTGCTAGAGTGTGGACTTCTGCTATCCTTCGGCTTTAAGAATTTCCTGAACTTTCTAGCAAAAGCCGCCATATACTCGTCAGTTAAAAGAATAGAAGGGTCAAAATTATTTACCTGAGAGGTGCTGGCAGTGAGGGCAGTAGTTGTTCTGTCCTCAACTTCTTCTTTCTCCTCTCCATTCATCTCAAACTCATAGGATTTGAGATTAGAGATGAGTTACTCAGTGCTGTAGGTTCTAAGATCCTTGCTATCTCTCATGGCAGTGACCTTCATCTTCCATGGTGAAGGTAGACCTCTGAGAACCTTCAAGTTGATCTCTTTGGGAGTAAGTTCCTTCCCAAGTTCTGATATCTCAGCAGTGAGGGTGAGCAAGCGTGCATACATCTCAGTTATGCATTCTTTAGGTAGAAGTTTGAAGTCTTCAAACTTCTTCATGGCAATAGTGAGTTTGTTGTCCTTTTCTTGCTCATCTCCAGCTCCTATCAGGGTGAGAGTATCCCAGATTTCCTTGGCAGATTTGCACTTCTTGATCCTTGTGAAGTACTTGTCATCAATGGCCTTGTAGAGGATATCCTTGGCAATGTTGTCAAGGTTGTACTTTCTCCTTTCTTCATTAGACCATTCATGGCGCAGTTTGGTGATCATCTGGGGTTGACCACTACCAGTGATGTATTCAGGGTTGACCTTGGTGAACTCTGTGAAAGGTCCTGCATCAAGAACTTCCCACATTTCGTCATTGAGTGCGCAGAGGTGAGCTTTCATGTGGATCCTCCAGTCATCAAACTTTTTTACTGAGAACATAAGATTCTTTGAAAGAGTGTTATCCATAATATGAGATTAAAGAGGCTAAAACAAGTGGATCTCTTGTTTAGTAAGTAACCTGAAAGATTACAAGAACAAGGAGGCTCTGATACCACTTGTTGGTCCCGTTTGTAATGGAAACAGTCTAGAGGGGGGGTGAATAGACTGTTTTAGGAATTTAAACTTTTCTCCAAGTCAAGTCTGACTTCACAGAGATGGTCCAAATCTGGTGACAGAGATGGTCAAGTTCTGATGGCAGAACTAGACCAGGCAGTGGATAAGTATCTGTCCGGGTAGCCTCTAGAAGAAAACTAAGGCAAGGTGCCTTTCTGATAACTCTGAAGGAAGATCTGCTGGACACAGAGTCCAACCTTAAGAGTTAGTCAGTAGAATCTTAAGTGCAGGAATTAAAAGCTTAAAGTAAATGACACCGGGGTTTTTATAGTGGTTCAAGGAACAACTTGTTCCTCTAGTCCACTGTTTCACTAAGCTTGTAAAAACAACAGTTTACAACGCCTTAGACCCTAGAGCTTAAGAAGCACTCCTCGTCTTCTTCAAGTCTAGTTGCCACCCGGGATGCAGTCCTGCTTCCTGATGGCTGATCTCGTTTCACTGAGTCTCTTGAAGTATCCCCACTTCACTTACTCCAGCTAGTTTGAGACGTCCCTTCTTTTTCAAGAAGTCTTTGATATAAAATCAGTTTTCTCCAACGTTGCTTCTTCACAAAGGATAGGTATATGAAGCTTTCGAAGTGTTGAAGAACTGAGTAACTTTGCAGTTTGCTAGTTGGATAAAGGATAGGAAAGTATATCTTCCAACTGGAGCCTTTTCTTGTCTGAGAATGAAGTTTTAATCTCAAGAAGATTGTTTACGCAAATTTATCTTGGCAAAGTTATTTTTCTTAGTTCTTCAGAGTGTATCTTTTATACTGGGAGCAGTCTTCCCGTTGGAGTGTAGAAGACAGCTTCAATAAATGCATGTACTGTTGACTTGACCGTTTGGTCCTCCGACTTGCTATTTTGGGGGCGTAAAGATACTCGCATGGTCAATCATCAGCTTTAAATATCTCTTCGTACGTACAACATTAAATGTGCATTTAATGCGTGTACAGTGCCATGCTTCTGTTGAAAGGTTTGTAACCGTTAGGGGATTTCCCGTTAGTTTAACGACCGTTGGAAGGGCTTCCGGAATCTGGTGGATTTAGCAGAGTCTGAAGAGGTTCTCTGGTCCAATCTCTGAAGTCCGTCTCTGTTGCCAACTTTGGTATCTTCCTGATAACCAGTTTCTGATGGCTTCTCTGGTGAGCAACTCTGGGAGCAACTCTGGTAGAGGCAAGATGGAACTCTGGCAGGCAGACTAAGCTAAAACTTACAAAAGAAATTCTAATACACAATTTCTAATGGGGTACTTTCAAATTCTAATAAACCTAGCATCATCAAAATCTAAATACATTTATTCCTTACAAAATGATATAGTTGAATGTGAAAAATGTGTGATTGCTATGTGGTCATGGTAATTGAGAAATGATTATAGAAAGATGAATAAACAAAGAGACTATGCATGAGGGAAGAAATCCTTGAAATACATTAATTATTGAATTGATATTGAAGGATTATAATGATGTAAACAAATGTTGATGAATGTGTGACTTCCACATGATCTTAAAAGGAATATATGGATACCTATGTTGATAGACAAAGTGATTAAATGTGAAGTAAGGAATCCTTGAGTCATTACCATGACTAAATTGATATGAGTCCTTAGGGATAATTTGTGTCATATCTAGGATATTGAATAAGATAGACATGGCCTTAGAAGGAGTGATGGACTACGGTCGGGCTCAAAGGGAAAGGTGATGTCTACCTAGAACTATATGATGGCAGCCCGGGGAGTCTTGATGAAGACTAGCCCAAGGTTGATAGATTATGAGTGTTCGAATACAATAAGTGTTGTCGAGGTTGAAGCCACGACTAAGCAAAAATATATAAGCTATGTGATATTCGGGGTGTGTAAGCCCTAGGAAAATTAAGATTATATTCGAGGTGTGTAAGCCCTAGTCGAATAAAGATTAAACAGGGTGTGTAAGCCCTACACGAATAAAAGATATTACATGGGGTGTGTAACCCTACATGAATAAAGATTATACGGGGTGTGTAAGCCCTACATGAATAAAGACTATACGGGGTGTGTAAGCCCTAACGAATGAAAGATATTACGCAAGGTGTGTAAGCCCTACATGAATAAAGATTATACGGGGTGTGTAAGCCCTAAACGAATGAAGCGTATATGGGGGTGTGTAAGCCCTAAATGAGTCAAAGATATTGTATTGGGTGTGTGAGTCCAAAAAGAAGGAATACAACCACGGGGTGTGTAGGTCCTATATGGATGAGTACAAAGAATAAAATGTGTAACCCTTTCGATGGAATTGGGTATAGACTAGGGGTGATGTAACCTCTCGAAGTTGCTATATGCAACTGTAGGCCGAGGGCTATTTAAAGGGAATTGTTTTGAAATACAAATGGGCTTACGGGCCGGCTATTTTAATTGTATATATATAATATACAAGTGATTTGAAATGGGGTAGCTATAGGTTATGCCCATAATATAGTATCACCCTATGTTGAGGGTCTTGTGCTTGAAACGTGGATTATATGTCGTATAGTTGTCATTGTACTTTTCAAATGCTTCAAAGTACTGACCTCCCCTTCACGGGAGAGGCCACCTCACAGTTTTCATGTAGAAGCTAGAGCTTGCTTCCTGTTCCCATTGCTCGGGTGATCTATGGAGAGAATACGTGGTTCGTGCTTCTTCCAGTTCTATTTTGATATAAATAAAATGATGCTCATGGAAACTATTTTATACTATAAATGATTTGGGAGCCTGCGTGCTCATGTTTGCCCTGTGTGGCCTTTGACTTTAAAAATGTATTTGTTTTCCGCTGCGTATTTTGAAATGCTTTATTTATGATTGTTTATGGATGTACTTGTGTGAATGGTATTCATGTACGCCTTGCATGGTTTGAGAGAGGTGGACTGTGGTTGCCTTAATCGGATTGTGTGGCGGTTGTTAGCGTGTCCGGCCAGCCTGGGGCGTGACACTTTATGTTCTGGGAAATGATAGTATGCATCTTCACATTTGGGCAGTAAAGAGTAAAGTCCATTGGTTCTGATTTTGGAAAATGTTAAGGTGAATGTAAAGTGCATTGGTTTTGAAATACAAGTGTTAAATCTGGTTTTAAATCTACCATTTAAAACATGTTAAACCTGGTTTAAAATCTGCCAAGGGTCTCACATTTGGTTAACAACAAAGTAAAGGGCATTTGTGAAGAAGTGTGGAATCAAAATCTGCCATCCAGGGATCTCACAATTGCTCTTTGGCATAAAAATTTGGCATCCCAATATTGAGTATTCTGGTTTTGCTTTTAATTTGGATTTGTTTGTGAGTCTTCTAGTCCTATTATACACATTTGGTCTTAGTTTTGCAAACACTAACACATAAATGAACATGAACTGTATACTGTGAATAACATCAGAGTTCACCACAGAGTTTGTCTTTACATAGAAGTAGATGACCTTTACAAAGGATGGCTAATACAGATGAGCAAAAAACACCTAAGACTTGTCTCCACCGGTGTAAAAAAAGATCTAGCATTAGTTTGCAAAAAATGACCTAACATTGGTCTTCACAAAAAAAAAACTAACACTGCTCTACAAAAACAATGCCAATACACAGGTTTGCACAAAAACTTCAGATAGGACCACAAAAACTTTAGTTAATAGTCATATTCATAAAGCAAAATCACACAAGACCATATCTACAAAATCAGATTTCAGATTGCTGCGAAGTTGTAGGAGCAGAAGATGATTGGGATAGAATATTAGCAACAACACCCCCTTGTCCCGGCTGCAATAAGGAGCATTAACAAAATTAAGATTTAGCTAACATTTTGAAATAATACTACACAAATTAGTATTGCATAAGTGTGTATGACTAACATTTATGTAAACTCTTGCATCTTCACCATAGAACACCCCCATCCATCGGGGACACCTGGTGTAGAACTTGTAGTCTTTAGTGGTCTTCCTCTAGGTCTTTTTCGTTGATTAGGATCACTAGATTTTGTTGATGATCCTCCATCCTTCTTTGGTCTTCCTCTTACTTTTTCCTACACATAAATAAGTAATGAGTAAAAGAACTACAACTAACTGTCACCATTAGTTTAAAATTGAGTGCCACCACAAAGTGAATGTCACCACTACTCACTGGAGGCTTTTGTAGTGTAGTATGGGATATGCTACCCTTTTGAGGACACCTTCTTTTGTTATGGTCATTCCCCTTGCATATTGTACAACTCATTTGTATGCCATGCTTACTTAATTTTCCTTTCTTATCAAACCTTTCATGTGCCTCTTTTCTCCTGTTTTTCTTCGGCCGGCCTGCACCTATCTTTATTGGTGGAGGATTTAAAACATATTCTATCTTCTCTCAATGCATTTCATCATTTATTGGTTTTAATGAAATACTATAGCGTTGGAGGTACTTCTCTTTCTTAAACCATTTATTGGTTTCCTCACATTATAGCAAGCAAATCTCTGAATACGCACGCCAAATCTCTCCATCACCGATTGTTGTGGAGATTTTCTAGGCCAATTAGGATTTTTTCTATACTCCTCCAAATACTCTTCAGCTAACCAACTAGGTTTAACTTGTATATTCTCATAATCTTGCCTATTGCACGTTTCTTCTTCTCTTTGTTGAGCAGTTTCTTCTTCTCTTTGTTGAGCCGTACTATGTGCCCGTTTGGTAGCCATGATTTTTGGCTTTTCAGGCTTATAACCCAAGTTTTTCACCAAACACATAACTTTTGGTTTTACTGGCTGAATTGTGTAATAATAAGAAAAGTAAGGTCGGAGTTACTTTTCTGGCTGTATCGACTGAAGTTACTGTAGAGGGCCACTTTAGCTATTTTTCATATAATTTTTTCTTTATTTTGTTAATAAAATGTATTTTAAATTATTATATTTCACAAATCAGCAGAATCAGCCAATACAGCCACATCAGCCAGAACTTCATAAATTTCAGTAGAATTAGCCAATACAGCCAATTTGGTTATTATCAAACAGACTCTATATATCTATTTCAATGAAGGCCGACTCCCGATGGATCGTCCGCTGAACGACGACGCCCACCTGTTGAATTTGCCGCTAAACGACGACGCCCACCTGCCGAACCTGCCGCTAAACGACGACGCCCACATGCCGAATCTGCCGCTAAATGACGACGACGACCTGCCGAATTTGCCGCTAAATGATGATGCCCACCTGCCGAATCTGCCATTGAACACAACGCCCCCCCCCCCCCCCCCCCCCCCCCCCGATCTACCTTTGAACGACAACGCCCGCTGGATCTGCAAGTGGAGGATCACCTGCCATTGTCAGAAGGTCACCATGGCGTGCCACCGTCTTGAAAAATAAAAGTTGATGTATACATGTTTCTTAGGCGTCGTGCCGCGTCACATATTGAGATTTCAAAGTAGAACACTATGAGTATCACTCACCCAAAGAAGCGGGTGTGATATAGTAACGTATTGAGTAATTTATTAAATGGCCTCTATAGTTTTAATAAATAATTTTCACTTCTTTAAGTTTAAAAGTGTAAGATGCTTTATTAGGCACATTTTATACCTTCTAATGTACGCATTTTTTGGGTATGGAAAGCAACCCACAATGTACTTTTCACTTATCATTTATTTTATACCCATGAACTAGTATAAATTAAATCATGTTGCTCATTTTCCAATATGTTGGTAATTGGTAGTAAATTATAATATTGTCATGTCGTTTGACGCTTTGAGTGTCAATGTTTTTGGGACAAACAAGCCTCCCAAGAACTATTTGGAAAAAGAAATTTTCAAATAATGACTATCACATGATAAATACTGATGAAAATCGGCAAAGAAAAGAAGGCAAACATGACAATCACTATGATAATAAAGTCATAATAATACAAGAGAAAATATTGTTATACATCACAGAGGCTCTAAAGAACAAGAGACCCATCGAGAGATTAAATATAATTTTGATTTATGGTTGTCCACTACTATGAGAATAAGAATCTTCTCATGTTACTGGACTCATCATTTTTTCAAAACTCTTTTAGGAGTATTTTTCAAACATATGAACTTTGTGTCTTCTCGTTAGACTTTTATGTTGAGTCTTAAAGTTTGGTACAAGTTACATGTATTCATATGAGATTTTAAATTTATTTAACATCTCATTAATTTATCTCAAATTACATTTAAGACATTATGCAATTGGATTCTTTGAATGCATATTCATGAAATTTGTTCATAACAGAATAGATATAAAGAAACAGATTCATGAATTAGTAGAATAACATGTACCTTTATCTACTTGAGATCATAATACTCTAAAGTATATGAGTGGCATTTACAAACTATTACAATCTATAACAAATATGTATTTTAACTCATTGTGGCATGCACAATAAATTAAGGAATGTATATTTATTGACTAACTTTCTTATTTTCATTTATGATCAATAAAGGGCGATGAATTGCCTATATATTTAATGTCAATGAATATAATTATATTCTCATTGACCTCTAAATGCATCTAGAAGTCGGCAAAGTTCACAATGTTTTAAATTTGTTCACCATAATTAGTTTCGTATAGAATGCAATCATGTCATGGGTTCAATTCTTGTGAGCGCTTTCTTGTCAAAGTGACAATAAAAATTTTCCCCTTTTACACCCTTGTGAAGGGATGTTTTCCCGAACTCTCATACTGCAGGAATTTCAATGTTCGTTGTGCTACCCTTAATGAATTTTCACATAGAAGCTTGCTATAAAATGAGATAGAAAATGTTATATTACACCTAATAATTGCAAAAGAAAATGCATATTTAAGATGTTTATGAGTCAAAATGGTCATTGACTCATACAAACATTGAAATAACTCACTAAGATTGTTAATCATTCGAAGAAAGGATACAATGTGATCCAACACAATGTAAATTGTTGGTCTTAACATTGATAAATAGATACCAATATACATCTTCTAAAGTACGAGAAGATGTATTCCCTTTTCATTGTGCCTTACAAATACAATTGTAGGCACATCAATTATTTCTTAAAGTTTACTCCTTAGCAATAATAAAATTGAGACTTGTCCATGCTATGGTTATAAAAACAAAGATATCTCATTTTTTCAATACAATGTGACACGTGAAAATGTATCTATTAGAATGCGGGTCATTTAAGTAATTATGATTCGGTAGAAATTTATTCATGTTATCAATGAAAATAAAAAGACAAATGTCCCATATTCAGAAATTAAAAATGATCTCAATTTTCATGACCATATATATGACTGTATTGAAGTGACATTCATGTGTAAGAGAATTACCGTTTATACAAAGTCTAACTTATTTATCTAGCTCTTAAATATTACTTTTAGGGTTAGGATATGATTGCTATTGATAGGGTATACGGGTCGGACCCACGACCCATATGCTTATGGCTACACAATAAGCCTACAGCTATTAGACTACCCATTGGTTAGACGAGGCCCACCTACATTGAAGATTTCCATATGCATGTGACGAACTCAGGGTACGGATCCAAAAACTTCACCTGAGAACAGTCATCATGGCTTAGCCACCTCGGTCTGACCGCCTCGGCCTGGCCACCTCGGCCAGGAACCTATAGCGGATAGCATTTACATTGTACACTAAATAGATTAGCTCCGTGTAAACAGCCACTACGTGGCCCATCATGTAATTGGGCCTCCCAGACCCAAACCTAAGAGGTCAACCCATATTCTCTATAAATACCCCCTCAGAGTAGGTGTAAGGGGTTGAAAAACATTAAATACAAGATCTTTGTCTCTCTAACTTTCACCTCTCTCTAGAATTATATTGTATCATTTAGTGCTTTCATTGAGAAATAGAACCATCAAGTTAGTGATCTCGTCGCAACAAGACGCTACTAACTAGAAAACGGTAAAGACTAGGCCAAAACAGAACTTCACCTCTAAGGCCCTCCACGGCCATCAGATCGTGCCGAAGAAGTCTGGCGATGCCACGACTTCGAAGGCGGTCGAGGAGGCTGACCTCCAAAATGCGGGGAACCTTACGACTGACCTCCACACCCAGTTCAATTAAAACGCCCTGGACGCCTGCCTCGCTATCGAGGGGAGACGAAGGAGCTCTCTCTCTCTCTGTCATCATTGTGAGTCTCGCTCAGAGCCCTATGGCCCTGAGCGCCCTTCTACCTAAGATGGGGAGAATACAACACCGCCTCCGCGCCCACCTCTGCCTACCGCAAACTATTTGCAGTTTGGAAATAGCGAGCGTTGTCGTTTCGCAAGACACCACGTTGCACAAAGCTGTCTTGCCTCTACGCGCTAAGTGTAACCTGGAGCGTGACCATACCTCGACTTTCCACATGCTGGGGGCACACATACAACGTCATGCGGCATCTAAAAGACTCGGTTAACTCTTAGATGCTTGAAGGCCCAACTTCCCACAAGAGAGTCGGGGACATGTGTACCGGACAATGGACAACCGACGCAATAATAAAGGAAAAGGAAATTGTAATACTTGAGATTTAATTTAAACGGATTAATAGTACTACTCATACCAACAGAGGTGCATCTCCTTTTAAGGGAGCTCACCACCAAGAACTCCAAAGTTAAGCGTGCTTGCACGGGAGAAGTCTTGGGATGGGTGACCCCCTGGGAAGTTTCTCAGGGCGCGCACGAGTGAGGACAAAGTGCGCGGAAAAGGCTAGTGGCGGTTTGTGAGGACAGTACTAGTGGTTCGAAGAGAGTTTGGAGTAACTACCTTGGGTCCTGGAAACCCGGGGTGTTACAAATGGTATCAGAGCAACCCTGCGACAGTGTGCTGATCCGTTGGATATCGGGCGGGCACTTAGTAGGGGAAAAGATTCTGGGATATGATTGAGATTGGTGTTTGGGCGCAACGAGGACGTTGCGTTCCTAAGTGGAGGTGATTGTAATACTTGAGATTTAATTTAAATGGATTAATAGTACTACTCATACCAACAGAGGTGCATCTCCATTTAAGGGAGCTCATCACCAAGAACTCCAAAGTTAAGTGTGCTTGCACGGGAGAAGTCTTGGGATGGGTGACCCCCTGGGAAGTTTCTCAGGGCGCGCACGAGTGAGGACAAAGTGCGCGGAAAAGGCTAGTGGCGGTTTGTGAGGACAGTACTAGTGGTTCAAAGAGAGTTTGGAGTAACTACCTTGGGTCCTGGAAACCCGGGGTGTTACAGAAAGCTCCATGAAGAGGGCGTCAGACAACAGACCAAACAAGCACATGCTGACCTAATCCAAGCGCGGAACCTGGAAGCCGCTGTCAGGGAGAAGGACCCTAGTGATGAGGTCATCGCTCAGCTTTAGAAGAGCTTTGCCGAGATGGAGGCCCGACAACATCACACCAGCATAGCAACGACCGCGACCCCTCCTCATCTCGGTTACCCACATTGATGCGTTAAGTGGATGACGTACATCGACAAGAACTAAATAGGCAGGGCGAGCAGATGATACGGGTTGTGACAAAAAAACCTTTCACATCAAGGGTCCTATCCATTCCCATCCCCGACAAGTACCGAGGGTGTGACTGTAAAACCCGATGATGGCCGAATCCACCCCTCAAGAACACTTGAGTCGTTACTAAAACAACATGCTCATGGTGAACGCCCCCAAAGAATATCTTTGTCGTTGGTTCCTTTCCACCATAGAAGGATCAGCGTACGAGTGGTTCAATGAATTGTTGGGAAGCGTCGACTCTTGAAAGGACCTTGCACAACATTTTATGATGCACTTCATCGGACAGAGACAGGCGAAGAAGCACTTCTCGCACCTCCTCAGCATCAGATAGAAGAAACACGAGTAGTTACTCCTACACACCCTCCAGACCTCTAGTACTGTCCTCACAAACAACCACGAGTCTTTACCGCACACCTTGTCCTCACTCGTGCGCGCCTTGAAAAACTTCCCAGGCGGTCACTCATCCCAAGACTACTCTCGTGCAAGCACGCTTAACTTTGGAGTTCTTGGGTGATGAGCTCCCTTAAAAGGAGATGCACCTATGTTGGTATGAGTAGTACTCCTTTTCAATTAAATTTCAAGTATTACAATCACCCTCACTTAGGATCGCAACGTCCTCGTTGCGCTCATAAGCCAATCTAAAATCTCAATCAAGTCCCAGAATCCTCTCCCGCTAAGTGCCCGCCTGATATCCAATGGATGAGCACACTG